ATCTTGAGCCAGTCAGGGTTAAACTACTGGCAGTGAGCTGAATTAGCCTGCAATACTGCATTCTAACCACTATGCCACTATTGATTCTCATCTTCTCCAGTCTTCTCTTGTTTTGCTTCTCTCTCTGTTTTACTTGAAACATATGAAGCTTTCAGTGTGCTGGATTGCTGACATCCACATCTTCAACAGCAATCTTTTTTCCTTGTCTTACTACTTCATCTTCACTCTCTTTGGGATAACTTATCTTCCCCCCTCCCACTCTGACCACTGCCAGTAAGCCACTTTGCTGTTGTCATGGTTAGCAGTCTGTTGTCAACCCAGTGACTAATTCCTATCTAGTCCTGTTTAATACTTCTCAGCTTCATTTCCCTATTCCAGAATGGTAGCTTTCTACATGCCGTAGAAAAATTCTTCTGGCGAGAGACATTAACAAGTAGCAGATAGAGAATTTTATGTCATTGCAGGAAAGGCCCTTTTGAAGATGTCTGCCTCTGAGAAACGCAGCTAAGATGTTTGTGTGAGGGGACTTTCTTGTATGTGGTTCCCAACTAAGGAATGAATTCCCAATGTTGGCTGGGCCCAAACTTTCCCAAGAAGACAAACCACATAATGGAGAGAGTAATGGAGAGAGTTAGCTGGAATGAATGGCAAAAAGAATTCTAGAATTAACAGATTAAAATCAGAGTCCAGTAAGAATTGTTGCCCAAGAAATAGTGGTGTTCTAAGTCTTATTTGTTCTCTAAAAATATAGGAAAAGTTAGATAACACCTGCACTAAGTTTTACTTTATTTTGGCCTCTGTGTGCTAAAGATTTAGTTTATTTTGTCTCCGATATTTATTTATCCCATTTCTAGGCCATTCAACTCCTTGAAAACTTCAAAAGATTACCGATAAAAAGGAAAAAAAATAGAGTATATGTAATAGGAAATAGTCACTGTTATTTATATATTGTTTCTATGCAGTGTATTTTTGAATCAAATTGAGATATCTTGTTTTTATAATATTAGTGAATCCATGCATTATATGATATGTTCAGAATCTTATTAACTATATATTTTTAAGATTCCTCAGGACTCCTGTGATTTTAGCAGCACTGTAGGAGAAGGAGTAGAATAGTCTGGGGGCGGAGTCAAAAGAGGAATTAACCTAGAATCTCCAAGTTGCCAGAAGTGGACTAAATCCAACCTCTCTTAAATTCTCTTAACCCTTATCTAATACCAAAAAAGTGCTGTTAGTTGACTACATTCCTGTGCATATACATGAGCAATAATGTAAATCAGTTTAATTGGAATTTAACATATGCTTTCACATCTGACAGCACTTATTTAAATCTTATCCATCATTTATTATTTTCCTGTGACTACTTATGTTATAAAGTAAGCTTTCCATGTTATATTTATCTATTTTTATATAGTGATTTTTTTTAAAAATTGCATTTTAGGATTTTGGTTTAATTTCTCAAAGAAGAGAGATTATGTTGTCTCTAGTAACATGCCTTAAAATACCAAAGGCTAAAAGGTGGCACTATACATTACTCCCCCCCCCTTTTCCCATAACGCAAACTGTCTCACACATTCTTGGTAAGTGAATGATGTCATAAAGACATCCTGCAGGAGGATAGGTAGTAACAATAACTATGACACTTTTGTTACACTTGTGTATTGAGTTAATTTTGCTAAGAAGTAAGTTGATTCTGTGTCTAAGGCTAACAGGTAAGAAAAAGTAGCGGAAATGGAGGTAATTAGATCTTTTAAATGTGTTTCTTTCACTAAAATATTAATATAGTTTTTCAGTGGGCCCTTTAAAGCTCTTTTATACTAACAGTAATAGGAGACAAAATCTTTATTGAATTTAAATATGGTATTTTTCAGAGCTAAAGGTCAAAAAAGGACTGATCACTGGATGGTGAATGATTTATAATGACTTATAAAAACAGAAGGAACACTGATTGTAGCAACTTCTTATAGAAAACAACCCCCCAAAATTGACATTGTTACTTGCATTGATCAGAATTTGAATATTATAAAACTTAATTCAATAATAAATTAGAATAAAAGTCTGTATGTTTTGTTGCAGATAAATAAATACATTGTATGTTTAAAGTAGGAAAAACTTCTATCATGTTGCAGAAATTGTTTCAGTGTTTTGTACAAGATTCCTCTAGACTAATAACACCCTGTGTTGTTCATTACAGCTAGCTTATCTTTTCCTCATTAATTCAGTATACAATATTTGTTTGAAAAGTAGAAGCAGCACAGGGAAACTGAAAATTCCTGCACTTATCAAGCATGGTGGTAATCAAATACCACTGAAAAGAATTTTCCTACTATATCAATTCAGCTCACATTAGGATTTTCCCACTTTGAATGGGAAATTATATTTATTTCAGCTCTATTGGCATTTTCCTCTTTGAATTTCTAAATTAATTAATTCATGCCTATATCTCTTAGCAGCCATATAGATTCAGCAGAGAAATGAAAGATATGTTGTATGTTTGAATCCTGAGTGGATCTCCCTGTTTTCCCTTCAAATTTACCGGTAGTTGAAGTCTGCTTATCAGATTAGGAAGGTTGTATTTATCACTAGATTCATACTTCAAACTCCTTCCTTATTTTCTGTGCAGATGGTCATGTTGACATTTATGCCACAGAAAGCTCCTAGAAAAATAAGCTCTCTTGAGAAATAAAATGACTGCAAAATAAGTTTAGAATATGAATTATATTAAATAGAACTTACATGCAAAACTTCTCAATACCTTAGAATAGGACTCATTGTATTATACAATACAATAGCAGAGTTGGAAGGGACCTTGGAAGTCTTCTAGTCCAACCCCCTGCCTAGGCAGG